AAGTATAATTTTTAATATTTTTTAAATATTTTAATATTTTAAAAATCAGAACATTTATCTCGGAATAGAATAATATAGCAGGTATAGGGACACACTTTGACACATCACATAAGAAATTAGGTAAAGAGCCAGGTATATCGTGGCATGTGCCAGTAAGTCCCAACTACTTGGTAAACTGAGACAGGAGGATCACTTGAGTCCAAAAGTTCAAGTCCAGCCTAGGCAACATGGTGAGAACCCATCTCAAAAAAAAAAAATGTAATCCCAGTACTTTGGGAGGCTGAGGTGGGCACATCACTGGGGTCAGGAGTTCGAGACCAGCCTGATAGCATTGACCCCGTCTCTACTAAAAAAAAAAAAAAAAATACAAAAATTAGCTGGGCGTGGTGGCGCACATGCCTGTAATCCCAGCTGCCGGGAGGCTGAGGCAGGAAAATCGCTTGAACCTGGGAGGTGTTGCAGTGAGCCGAGATTGCGCCATTTGCACTTCAGCCTGGGCAACAAGAGTGAAACTGTCGAAAGAAGGAAGGAAGGGAGGGAGGAGGGAGAGTGGGATGGAGGAAGGAGAGGGAGGGGAGGGAAGGAGAGAGGAGGGAGGAAGGGAGGAGAGAGAGAGGAGGAAAGAAGGAAGGAAGGAGGAAAGAGGGAGGAGGGAGGAAGGGAGGAAGGAAGAAAGGAAGAAATAAAGAAACAGGCCGGGCGCAGTGGGCTCGCCTGCCAATCCCAGCACTTTGGGGAGAGGCCAAGGCCGGCAGATCACGGAGTCAGGCGTCAAGACCATCCTGGCTAACTGCAGTGAAACCCCGTCTCTACTACAAATACAAAAAATTAGCCAGGCGTGGTGGCCCGGGCGCCGACACTCCGCAGGCTGAGGCTGAGAGAATGGCGGAACCCGGAGGCGGAGCTTGCAGTGAGCCGAGATCGCGCCACTGCACTCCAGCCTGGGCGACAGAGCGAGACTTGTCTCAAAAAAAAAAAAAAAAAAAAAAAAAAAAAAAAACAGAGATGCAGGTCACTGGTAGGGCTGAATCTGTGGACTGGCTGACCCCCAGATCTGGGAACAAAGAATAGGGCATGAGGGTGATTTCAGAGGAGTAGTTACTAAAACTACTCAATAGACTAGGAGGTAGGGATGCTAACCCCCAACCAGCCTTATGAGGAGGCTAAAGCGGGCGTGGTGGCTCTTGCCTGTAATCCCAACACTTTGGGAGGCCGAGGCGGGCGGATCATGAGGTCAGGAGAGATCGAGACCATCCTGGCTAACATGGTGAAACCCCGTCTCTACAAAAATACAAAAAAAAAAAAAAATTGCTTCGGACGTGATGGCGGACGCCTATAGTCCCAGCTACTCAGGAGGCTGAGGCAGGAGAATGGCGCTAACCTGGGAGGCAGAGGCTGCAGTGAGCCGAGATCTCCCACTCCCACTAAACACAACTAAAAACTCTGGAAATTATTTATAAAACAAATATAACAGGACTGTGAAAGGTGGAAGAAAGAAGGCACCAGCTCTAAGGGTCACCAGGTACTTAGAAACAACATGGTGATGAGTTCTCTGGGTTTTCTTTTTGTCTCTAATATCCCAAACATGTTGCTAAAACTGAATATTATATTTAATGGTAAGGCCCCAGATGGAGCCACCCAGAGGCGCGGTGGCTCACGCCTGTATCCCCCGCTTTGGGAGGCCGAGGCGGGCGGATCCTGAGGTGAGGAGATCAAGACCACGGTGGAAACCCCATCTCTACTAAAAATACAAAAATTAGCTGGGCGTGGTGGCGCCTGTAGTCCCAGCTACTCGGGAGGCTGAGGCAGGAGAATGGCTGAACCCGGGAGGCGGAGCTTGCAGTGAGCCGAGATCGCGCCACTGCACTACAACCTGGGCGACAGACGGGAACTCCATCTCCAAAAAAATAAAATAAAATAAGGCCGGGCGCAGTGGCTCACGCCTGTAATCCCAGCACTTTTTGGGAGGCCGAGGAGGGTGGATCACGAGGTCAGGAGATCGAGACCATCTGGCTAACATAGTGCCACAGTGAAACCGTCTCTACTAAAAAAATACAAAAAACTAGCCGGGCGAGGTGGCAGGCACCTGTAGTCCCAGCTACTCGGGAGAGCTGAGGCAGAGGAGAATGGATATATGGCAGGCGGAGCTTGCAGTGAGCTGAGATCTGGCCACTGCACCCCAGCCTGGGCAACAGAGCAGAGACTCCGTCTCAAAAAAAAAAAAAAAAAAAAAAAAAGACTGAATGGAGCCAAGTGTGGTGGCTCATGCCTATAATCCCAGCACCCTGGAAGGCCAAGGCAGATGGATTGCTTGAACTCAGGAGTTCAAGACCAGCCTGGGCAAAATGGTCTTGACAGGAGGATTGCTTGAGGCCAAGAGTTTGAGCCAAATCTGAGCAACATTAACAAGACACTGTCTCTAAAGAATTAAAATTACCCGTGTGACCAGCGGTGGCTCATGCCTGTAATCCCAGCACTTTGGGAGGCCGAGGCAGGCAGATTACTTGAGGTTGGGAGATTGAGACCAGCCTGACCAACATGGAGAAACTCTGTCTCTACAAAATACTAAATTAGCTGCAGGTGGTGGTGCACCCCTGTAATCCCAGCTACTCGAGAGGCTGAAGCGGAGAATTGCTTGAACCCAGGAGGCGGAAGTTGCAGTGAGCAGGGATCGCACCATTGCATCCCAGCAGGAACAAGAGCGAAACTCCGTTAAAAAAAAAAAAAAAAGAAATTAAAATGCCAAAAAAAAAAAAGAAAACCATATAAAACAATTTTTCTTTTATCAGATTGTAAAAGAACAAATAGAAGAACACCATGTTACTTAAAGAAAAGGGCAAGAGGTATTCATATGGGCTATACTCAAGTGGGCATATGAATGAGTACATCTTCTTTGAGGCAGTTTGGAGGTGGTTTGGCCGTATTTATCAGAACTCCAAATACAAGTGCACTGTGATTAACAGTTTTACTTACAGGAATTCATCTTACAGACGTATTTGTGTAGGTAAAATGAAGCATTTGTACAAGATTATTGATTGCAGCTTATTTGTAATAGCAGAAGTTGAAACAACCTAAATGTCCATTCAAATGTCTGCCATTGAAAGAATGATAGCTCTCTGTCTACACATACGGAATGATCCAAAATATTTGGGTACCTGAAAAAAGCAGTGTGCAGAACATTGTATGTATATTGCTATCATTTAAGGAAGAATGTATGAACATATTTGCATATATACATATAAAATATCTGTGGAATGCTTTTGGATGTTTCCAAGTAGGGGAGCTGGAAGACTGAAGAACAGTTATGGAAGGACACTTCCTTTTTTTTTTTTTTTTTGAGATGGAGTCTCGCTCTGTCACCCAGGCTGTAGTGCAGTGGCCGGATCTCAGCAGCCGCTAAACCTGGGTTTACACCATTCTCACCTCAGCCTCCCGAGTAGCTGGGACTACGGGCGCACTACCTCGCCCAGCTAGTTTTTGACTTTAGTAGAGGCGGTGTTTCACGTGGTGGCAGGATGGTCTCAATCTCTGGCCTCGTGATCCGCCATCTCGGCTTCAAGAGTGCTGGGACTACAGGCCCAGCCACCAGCGCCGACCCACTGGACATAATTTTTATATTAGAGTTTGTGTTAGGGATTTTTTTTTTTTTTTTTTTTTTTTTGCAAGGGCGAGTGGGGGCTACGTTTGAATTTTGGAGTAAGGCTACATTGCACAATCAAAAGAAAGCTTTTTTTCTTTTTTCAGATGAAGTCTCACTCTGTCACCCAGGCTGGAGTGCAGTGGCACAATCTCGGCTCACTGCAAACTCCGCCTCCTGGGTTCAAGCGATTCTCCTGCCTCAGCCTCCTGAGTAGCTGGGATTACAGGCACGCGCCAGCATGCCCGGCTAATTTTTGTAATTTTAGTAGAGACAGGTTTCTACCCATATTGACCACGCTGATCTTGAGCTCCTGGCCACAAGTGATCTGTCTACCTTAGCCTCCCAAAGTACTGAGATTACAGGTGTGAGCCACCACTCCTGGCCAAAAAAATTTTTTTTTAATTATCGAGGTGTGGTGACATGCTCCTGTGGTCAGCTGCTTGGGAGACTGAGGAGTGGGACAATAACGAGGCTGCACTCCAACCTGGGCAGGCAAGACCATCTCCAAAAATAAAAATAAAATGTGTCTTGACAAAACCATGAAGTCTTACAACTGTTAACCATCCTAAAAAAAAGGGGCCTCCCAGTAGCATTGTGGCATTCTATGGAACTATTCTGACTTTAATCCTATTTCTCCCGTTGGTACCCAGAGCACCTCCTAAACCCTCTTATAGAAGTCACAGTGCTGACAAAGAATACTCTTCTCCAGTAGCAAATAGGGTGTGTCTCGTCTATATCTATGTGCTCTTATTTTCCAGGGATGTTAGTGAAGAAGTAAATGTAACGTGGAGAACAAGACGTATGTGAATTTCACTCCTTGACTGCACACGACATGATTGGGCACCCCCAAGGTAAGCACTTACAGCTATTTAGTTTATATTAAGTCTGAACCACTCTAATTGGTGATCTTTATACTTTTATCCTGCTAAATTATACACCCAGCTTTTTAAGGGACACGATGGTGTAGATAACCAGGGAAAGCATTGTATTATCAGCATTCAAAGAGACTGAATGGCTGGGCGCAGTAGCTTACGCCTGTAATCCCTGCACTTTGGGAGGCGAGGCGGGCAGATCACACACTGAGATCAGGAGTTCAAGACTAGCCCTAGCCAACATATGGAGAAACCCCATCTCTACTAAAAATACAAAATTAGCCAGGTGTGGTGGTGCATGCCTGTAATCCCAGCTACTCGAGAGGCTGAGGCAGGAGAATCACTTGAAGCCAGGAGGCGGAGGTTGCAGTGATCCAGGTCACGCCATTGCACTCCAGCCCAGGCAACAAGAGCGAAACTCCATCTCAAAAAAAAAAAAAAAAAAAAAAAAAAAAAAGAAGATGAATTGTGTGTAGGAGTGTTCAGGGGTGCTCACTTCAGAGGTACATATACTAAAATTGGAACAATACAGAAAAGATTAACATGACCTGCACCAAAGGGTGGCCATGGAAATTTGTGAAGTGTTCCATATTTTTAAAAAATCAGCAAAAAAAAGTGTTGAGGGGATGCATTGGGAATGGGGAGAAAATCCTGTTAAGCCTTTAAGTGGAATTATTAAGAACCACCTTGAGACCATCTAACCATAGGTGAGCAAACATTCGTGACAGTGGCTATTTCTCCAGAATTTGAACTCAAGAACATGTTTAGTTTTATAATTCTACTAGAACATATGGGTTTCACGAGACCTTTTCATGTTGCAATTTGACCTTTAGATGGATATTTCAATCAAAGGCACCTAATAGTTGTTCTATTCAGTCTCAGTTTGTCAGGGTTGGGGAACCCGAAGCGTTGAGATAATTTACAACTAACATACCGCGTAACATCCTAGGAGCTTACCAATTAATGCCGTTCCATAAGTCACAAGTTCCTTTATTGGATACATTCATTGAAAATGGTAGTTACTATCTGGACAGTTCTTTTAGGAAAAGTATCTTAAGCCTTCATCTGCCCGTTGTTCCCATGAAACTGAGTAGGCAGAAATGTCCCAAGGAAAAGTATTGTAAAGTTCTTGATTCCATACCACTCTCCTTTTCTCAGATGTGATTGGCTATGCAAAGACTATTTATGCCTCCTAATTTTCAGAGATGCTGGGCCAGGTTTCTAGAGGCTTAGAATTTTATAAGACTATGTTTAGGCTGGGTGTGGTGGCTTACGCCTGTAATCCCAGCACTTTGGGAGGCTGAGGCGGGTGGATCACCTGAGGTCGGGCAGGTCAAGGCAGCCTGGTCAACATGGTGAAACCCTGTCTCTACTAAAAATACAAAAAATTAGCCGGGCGTGGTGGCCGGATGCTATAATCCCAGCTACTTGGGAGGCTGAGACAGGAGAATTGCTTGAACACAGGAGGCGGAGGTTGCATTGAGCCTAGATTGCTCCACTGCACTCCAGCCTGGGCGACAGAACAACACTCTGTCTCAAAAAAAAAAAAGACTATATTCAGACCATAATAGTTGCCCTGATAAGAATCAGAAGCAAATGAGCTAAAATAAGTTAGTAAAGTTCTTTACACCCTCCCTTTGCATTTCTGAGAAACCTATTGGAAGAACTTATTTCTGCTTTGGGCATACAAGAATCCAGAGAGATAGAGGCTGAGTGAGTAGGTTGATAACAGGAAGCAGTAATAAAGCTTTACAGTAGGACTGTTCTGAGAACCCGAAGGACTTTTTTCTGCAATAGCTTTGGTTCCTACTGTCTTAGAAGCAACCTAGTCCCGTTGCCTCCTAGGACAGAAGAGTCAAAACCATCTTTAGAACTGGGAACCAATCTTAGCTAAAGGTTTAATAATTCTAAGCAGTGTTTAAGCTCCATGAAAAGCTACTTTTGAGACCTATGAGGAATGACCCCTAGGTGCAGATCTCCAGACATTCAAAGAACTCGTGTACTCTTGGTTATATCTGATGTTTAGGGAACTCTTAAATGGATAGGTGCTTTGTTCTACCTTTCTATATCTTCATGGTAGTATGTGAAAAAGGCATTGAGCTAAGGTAGAGCTACAGTCTTGTCATATGTTGCCATTAATCAATGATGTTACCTTGGACAAGTCACTTAGCATGCCTGGCCTCAATTTCCTGGATGATTTCTAACATCTTTTCTGGAAACCATGACTAGTGGCTGTATATAGGAAATGTGAACATGACTGTCTTATAGAACTTAGACTGCATGGCTTTAGAGGCAAATGTTGGAGAATAATTTACATGTATGCATCCCAGGAGTTCACCATTTAGTACAGTTCCCAGTCAAATTTCTTTAACAAATCATATTTATTGAAAATGATGGTCACCATCTGGACAGTTCTGGAGCCTACAGCTAAACTGGTTTGAAGATGTTTTCTCTTCTTAATAATATCCTGTTGTGTTTTAACATCTTTGCCAAAGGTTCTGTGACTCCCGACCAGTGACCTGAAATGCGCAATGGTCAGGTAGGAAAAGCAACGGCCGTCCCAACAGTACTCCATCAATGGGCAGCCACAGCCTCTGACCTTAAAGGGACCAGTAGCAGCAAGGCAGGCGGGAGCCAATAGCAAGGCCGACAGGGCAGCCAGAATTCTTTGAGCATCGCCCACCTGCCAGCAGCACTTCTGGGGATGTCAGGGCCAGCCCTTCCTTGGCTAATAAGCGGAAAAACAAGCCCCTTTCAGGCTTATGAAGCTGAACTCTAGCTCAGAGGACTCCAAAAGGAGCAAGCGTGTCCGTACTAATTCCATGGGCTCAGCCACTGGCCCCCTTCCTGGGACCAAGGTAGAACCCACTGTTCTGGACGTGTCCCTCCCAGTCTGATTGACTGTCCCCACCAGCTGCAACAGAAGTACAAGCACATCAATGCGGGCTTAAGTACCCTCAGCTCATGCCCTTACAGATGATGCCCAGCAAGCCGGAAGCGGATGGGGACAGTGAGTACGGAGAGGAACCTATTCTCCATGCAGATCTTGGGAGCTGCAATGGTGCATCTGTCTCACAAAAACGTTCCTTGTCCCCTGCCCGCTCAGCTACCCCCAAAGTTCGACTTGTAGAGCCCCACAGCCCTTCTCCTTCAAAGCAAATTCTTTAAAAGGCCTCTGTAAGAGAAAAAGTTGAGTGGGGGGAAGGGGGACACAGACCTTGAGGCCTTGTCCAATGATGGCTCTGATGATGGGCCCTCAGTGATGGATGTGACAAGCAATGATGCCTTTAGTTCTTTAGAAAGGAAGTGTATGGAAAAAGAAAAATGTAAAAAACCCTCTAGTTTAAAACCTGAAAAGATTCCTTTAAGGCTTAAAAGTATAGCCCGTCCCATGCCCCTGCCATCCCCCCACAGCAAATCTACACCTTCCAGACAGCCACCTTCACAGCAGCGAGCCCAGGCTCTTCCTCAGGCTTGACCGCCACAGTGGCACAAGCCATGACCAACAGTCCCCAACTCAAGCCCATTCTCCATAACTCAAGCCCACTGCCAGCAGGAGAACCTTTCCTGATCAACCTGCCTTGACTCAGCCAAGGACAAAGAAAAGGGCCAAAAGAAGATCTGAGGAACTTGAAAGTCCTCTGACCCCCTGGGAAAGATATTGTCGAGTAGAAGAGAGCAAAAAAGTCCATTCAAGGGAATCTTCCAGGAGATGGGATGAAAATGGAGGACTCCTAAATGGCTCATCAGACCCCAGCAAAGCCGACTGGCTAGCATCAAGACGCTAAACCGACAAGATCTACAGTTTCACAGATAATGCCCCCAGCCCTTCCATTACAGGCAGTAGCCGCCTTGAAAACACTACCCCTACTCAGCCCCTGACTCCCTTACATGTAGTGACCCAGAATGGAGCTGAAGCCAGCTCAGTCCAAACTATAGCCCTGCATACTCTGACAACTCTGATGCTGGGGAGGATGGGGAGGAGCAAGGTAGACAGTGTCAAATCAAAGGATGCTAGACAGTTGGTTAAAAAGAAGGGGCTAAGAAAACTCTTTTTCCCCCTCAGCCTCAGAGCAAAGACTCACCATATTACCAAGGCTTTGAGAGTTACTATTCTCAAGCTACCTTTGATCCAGCCCTGGGGCTCTGAACCCCAGCAGCCAGGCCGGGAGGTGGAGAGCCAGGCCCTGAAGACAAAAGGATGAGGAACCTGGGAGCATCGAGAAGGAAGAGTGAAGAACGATGTTTGTGAGGAAAGAAGCCCGAGCTGAGCAGTTCAGTCAGCAGCCTCGGTCATCCAGCAGCGTCCCAACATGTATACCCAGTCCTGTACTATAACCAGTATGCCTATGTGCCCCCTGCTACAGCGACCAGAGTTACCACACACCCACCTTGAGCACTAACACGGCTTACCGGCAGCAGTGCGAAGAACGGCAGAAATGCCAGAGCTTAGAGCAGCAGCAGCGGGGAGTGGACAAAGGCAGGAATCGGCCTGAAGGGCCTTGAGGCAGCACTCAAGGAAGAGTGGAAGCAAAAGCCGTCAATTCCACCAATTCTCACCAAGGCCCCCAGCCTGACAGACCTTGTGAAGTCAGGACCTGGCAAGGCCAAGGAGCAGGGAGCTGACTCAGCCAAATCAGTCATCATTCCCAAGTTAGATGACTCTTCCCAAACCTCCCGAGCCAAGACCCTGAAGGCCTTAAAGTGAAGCTGAGTGATGCCAGCCACCTAAGCAAGGAGGCCTCTGAGGCCAAGACAGGCGCTGAGTGTGGTCGACAGGCAGAGGTGGATCCAATACTCTGGTACCGACAGGTAACTGTTGCTCTGGGAGGAAGTGGAAATACCGTATGATAATCATCTGCCTTCCTCACAAATAAGGGCTGTCCTTATATAGGAGTTCCTTAGATTGAGATTAGCAGGAGAGATGTGTAATCTTAAGGATTCTTTACCTTTATAAACCATTTTTAATGTTTTATTTTATTTTAATGTTATTTTTTCGAGATGGAGTCTCACTCTGTTGCCCAGGCTAGAGTGCAGTGGTGCTATCTTGGCTCACTGCAACGTTCACCACACCCAACTAATTTTTTTTTGTATTTTTAGTAGAGATGGGGCTTCACCATGTTGGTCAGGCTGGTCTCAAACTCCTGACCTCAAGTAATCCACCTGCCTCAGCCTCCCAAAGTGCTGGGATTACAGACATGAGCCACTGCACCCAGCCAATTGTTTTATTTTTATGTTTTATAGAGACCCAGAGTCCCTCTCTATTGCCCAGGCGGGAATGCAATGACATAGTCATAGCTCACAGCAATTTCCAACTCCTAGGCCCAAGCAATCTTCCTGCCTCAGCCTCCCAATTAACCAGGACTACAGATGCATACCACCACACCCCCAGATGTTTTGAATTTTTTTGTAGAGAGGTCTCACTGTGTTGCCCAGGCTGGTCTTGAACTCCTGGCCTCAAGCAGTCTTCCCGCCTCAGCCTCCCAAAGCACTGGGATTCATATTAATGTTTTAAAAAGCGCACCATATCCATAGCAGGTGTTTTTTCCATTTGACAAGAAAGGCCCAGGCAAGTTAGCTTAATTTGTCTAGGGTT